TCACTTATCCGCCTATTCCCTAATCCATTTTCATTCAAGTATTCACCCATTCACTCACTCGCAGCCATGCGACATTTCATATTTTATTAAATCACCCAATCATATGCTCATTAAATCACACACTCATCAGCTCACCCTTTCATCCATTCATCCATTCATCCCGCTCATTCATTCAATCAACCACTTACTCATCAACTCATCCACGCAATCACCCACCTTTGCGTGGGTGCCGTTATGTCATCCATATTTTGGCAAACTCATTCGGACCTATTCTCTTCTCTCTTCAACCATCCAACCATTTATTCATTCCCTATTTCACTCACCCATCAACCATCCACTCACCCTCCCACTCAATTTCATCCATCCATCCATCAAATTAGACTTGCCCACCGATAGACTGACTTTGACCCTATCTCCACCAGCCCGCCTATCAACCTCCACCCTTATATTTTACAAACTCACTCTCTCACCCACTAATTCACCCACTAATTCGCCCACTAATACACCCATTAATTCACACATTCACCGAGAAACAGGCACCGTGACTGGCTAGTCTGACCGAGTTTGACTGGCCAATGGTGAGTTGGCTCAACTATCGACCGGCCGGACGTGTCGGCAGACAAGCGGGCGTCGAAAAACACACGGCTTCCAGCTGCCTCGGCCCAGACACAGCCGAGACGGGCACTCGAGAGGCTGCTCACTTACGCAATCACGCGTCCCCGTGTCTACGCGTTCACTCGGGCAAAGTTGCAAGCATATTAGCACAACAGCAGCCTTTGAGATTATGACTGCAGGAGGACTATTACACATGCACAGACAGAAATACAGACCTCGCCAAAGAGAAGAACGCACGGCTAAAGAGGGAGAAAGAGACAGACAGTCTGAGATAGGCAAACCGACCGTCAGTCAGACGGGCAGGCAAGCCGGCAGATGCGAAACAGGTTGTCCAGCCAAGTTCACTACCGTGCTGGCTTTTTCCGACGCGCGCACACTTCCACGCGTGCACAAGCATATTGCACACACACACACACATCATCAAAGCCTGCAGACAGGCCCGGTGATCGTGACAGGCGGTAAAGCGCGTTGTCGCTTCTGTCTGATAACGCACGCACACTTTGTCGGTCCATTAGTCTGTCCGTCTGTCTGCCGGCCAGTCGGCCATCCAGCCATCCGCCCACTTCGACTCAGACGGCGAGACCGAGACTCACTCGGACAGTCAGGCTATGAGATGGCCCGACTTGGCCGGCAGGATCGATACGGCTTAGCCGAGGTCCACGAGCCAGCAAAGCGGGACGGCCAGGCGAGCGAAGCCAGCGAAATCCGGCCGCATTGATCTCTGCCTCAGCCATTTTGGGCCGACTGACAAATTTCGCCTTGCCGCATTTCAGCGCGCCACATCGACCTCTCCGCTCTGCCAGCATCACTCAGCCTCTTGGGCCTGTCTCGTTCATCTCGCGGCCATCTCACAGAGCCCGTCAGCTCCACTCTCTCTTGTCCTCACTCGGCTTCGGTCTGGTCGGATCGGAATGGGTCGAATTGGGTCGCAGCGACTCCGAGTTAGGCCGCTCGACCGACCTTTATTGCCGACTTTCGCCACGCCGTCACACTCGTCCGTTCGGCCACGTCGCACTTCGTCGCCTATCGTCGCTTATCGTCGCGTATCGTCGCTGCTGCTGCCGCGTCAATTAGCTCAGCTGCTTTCTTGACAAGCCCTGGCGAGGCGTTGTCTCGTTTCAGCTCTGGTTGCGCAACAAACACACGCTTCAACTGCACATGGATAGGCGGGGCTGTTGATAATGCTGCTGCTGCTGTTGCTGCTGACGCACTGACGCGAGTGCGGTCATGACTGGCGGCACCAAACAGACTGACAAAGTGCTGAGGTGATTTCGTGTAAACCGCAGCACGACCGGCCCACTAGCCTGTCCTAGGGCCAGTCAGATTCAGAGTTTTCGAGACGGATGAAAGTGTGTTTGTGTGTGTGTGTATGCGCTCCGCAAGCTAGGGACAGGGCCCGAGGGAGGGTGAGAAAAGTGACAACATGACAATCTTCGGCTGTTGCCGTCGAGCCAAAAGGCGGAAATCGGGACGATTTGTGAGCGTCGGATTGTGCGAAGAGGACATCGATGAGGCCGTGTCGCGTGGCGATTCAGGAGGCTTTTCAAATGGAATGAAGCCGGTGCCAGCGCCAATCCCGGCACTGGGACTGAGCACTGCTGCACACCGACCTACGCGACCTTGAGTCTGGGCCAATTGCAATTTGCAATGGCTGACGGGCAGATGTCGCCGTCACGACGTGAGAAGATGACGGTTTTCATGTCTTCCCCTTCAAATCTACTCGCCCAGACGGCCTGAACTGTCTCATCTGCTCTTCGAGTGGATGCGAGAAGTTGGGCCTCGAGGCGTCTGCTCATTGACATTTCCATCTCGAGTTAAAGTGTGTTGCATGGAAAGAGTGATCAGTGGATATGTGAACATATACATTTCGATGTATGCTTAA